AATGAGACTGTCACAGGTCGTAGGACGCTAGTTTGTGTCCTCCCGTTACCCCAAGGAGAACTATGGGGAAAAACACTGACCCCATAGTTCTCCTTTAAACAGGGCTATTACTGCATTAAAACATAAACATATACTGTATATATATTATAATTGGGTCTATATTCCTTTTTCAGTTGCCATCCTTTAAATGCATAACAAGCTTTTCCATGTGATAAAATAACACCAGAAGGTCAGATTGAAACACTTTTTAAAAAAAACTTATTTTATACCGTTTTCCCACTGCATTCATGTGTAACCATTTCAATTAGAGGATAAAGATCTATTTTCACTTCACAGATTGAGTCCACATGATGCTTGATAGATTTTAAATAAAGCAAATGGACCAAAAGAGATTATTTAATGAGATTTCATGTCAGAGGGCTGCAGTTATAGATCCGGATTTTCTGATACAAGGATTAAACTGTATCTTAAAGGGAAGAAATGTAATTTATACCAGGGCAAATAAGATTATGTGGTTATTAATCTGTATGCTGCTAGTATCACCACAACATCTATTAACACATACTGTATGCTTCCAGGTTTGTAATTACACCATGTTAACACTTTCTTTAAAAAACAAAAAAACAACAGCAGCATAATGGCAACAAAAATCACAACAAATTATATACATTAGCTTAGCTCTTGGCTATGAGATCCTAGTCCCCAAACAATGGTTCCAGCTGTCCTGTAATAAGGTGGGGAATGTTGATCTGACCTATACACAACATCGAGTTCTCTCTAGTCTTATGCGTTTTCAATGTCAGTCATTATTTGATTTATAGTATTTTTACCCTATCAATTCTCATTATTTAGATTTTTGTCAGAAAAGCTGTGTAGAAAGAAAAGAAACCACTGTTAAAGTAATATTAAACTCTCAAACTTTTATCAATAATGAATGCAGATCAAAACAATATACTGTACATTGCCCAGCAAACTACTTCTGTCAATTTATGCCAAGCACTTACAGGCATCATGTTTCGAACAGCTGGCTCCAACTCTCTGAGCCCCCTTCCCTGAACTTCCTGCTGAGTACAAGATTGCAAGAAACAGTGCAGTCCCAAGCAGTTGTCCATCTACTATCTTGGAGAAGAGAGAAAGGAGGAGGGGGGAGCAGGGGACGTGGCTTGCCTTGCTGTGCCTGTGTGTTTGTGGATACACATATAGCTTACTAGCACACAAAAAGGTGACTGCATAGAACCCTGCTAGAGAAAGGGGCCACCCTAAAACAGGAAGTCAGGACCAGTACTCAGGGGACCAGCTGATTCTACAGGAAGCTAAAACTTTTAAACAACAAGGATCAGTATCCATTGTAAGTGCTTTAGCATTAGTTTCAGCATTTGAAATTAGGGATGTACCGATACCAATACTAGTATCAGTATCGGGGCCGATACCGAGTATTTGGGCGAGTACTCGTACTTCCCAAATGCTCCGATGACTCACCCGATACCCGAACTTCCGGTTTCAGGAATCCGGGCATCGAGTCAATACACGATGCCCGGTGGCTAGGACTCACGTTCGGCTCAACCACCTTAATAAACATGAGACAGTGGTCTGAAGAAAGGTCAATTTTGAGTTTAATCTTTGTCTAATAAAAAGCACAAGAGGGATTTATTTTTCACGAAGGAGCCAAAGGATCCAGCCATAGCTTCAGCTGATTCTTCGGCCGCCAGAGGCATTCAGTTCAGTCGAACCGAAGGGCTGCTGTATGGGCCAATTCACTACAGCCCGTACAGCTGCCGAAGGCGGCTGGGTGGCTCAGCCGAGCTGAAGGCATATGCCCGAAGGCCGGCCATTCGCCCCCCAAATGACAGCTCGGCAGAGCCAGCCGTGATAACACGGCTGGATCCGCCCAGTTGTAATGACAGATCAGCGTCCCCAAATGACCTGAATGGGGACGCTGAACTGTCATTAAACAATAACAACTGGGCGGAGCCGGCTGTGACGTCATGTTATTCATTGGCCTGGGCCTGCTAGAAGACTCATAGAAGACTCTAGCAGGTGTCGGCCAATAGGAAACTGTTGGGCGGAGCTAGCTGTCACTGCTAACTTCGCCCAACTATTTTTCTTTTTTAAAATATCTTTATTTTAAAATTTTACTATTTAGTTACATTTTAAAAATCGTTTTCAACCGTTTTATCCCCCCGAATATTTTCACTGATTTTGTATGGATGTACCGAGCAGAATAACCAAGCCGAATGCCGCTCAGAGCATTACCTAAATAATTGATCTGTATAGCTGGTATCTTTTTTATCTGTTTTCTGTCAAATTTTTGCCTGTCTGTTTCTCTCTCTTCACATAACCGAACAGTTGTACACAATGCACATATTCTGTGGTAGTCCATTAGTAACTAAAAGCAAAAACAACCTGGGTTCGATTCGCTGGCTGTTTGACGAACTACAGAAATTGTGAACTGGAATCTGAACCACATTAAAGTCAATCGAGATGAATCTTGAAAATCAGTTGTGGCCATTTTTAGGGCTAATAGTCAAAGGATTGTCAACAAAGGGCTTGTGGAGCTGGGCACTGTCATAGGGCACAAAAAATAATGTAATTTAACCCCTTAGCAACGGGAGACATACACTGTACGTCCCCCGTCACACAGCTAAGTGCACAGCTATTCAGGGCTCCGGAATGCCGGTAACCGCGGAGGTTAGTGGTTACCGTTCATTAGTGGATGCCTCACTAACAACTGTACATCCCCCGTCACTAAGTGCCTAGTTATTCAGGGCTGTGGAATGCAGGTAACCTCTGAGATCAGAAGCTACCATTCATTAATGGATGCCTCACTAACGATACATCCATCAATTAAAGATTTAAGCAGTTTCAGACAGCTGATCACTTTCAGTAATTGGGTGTCTGACAGTGATAGGAGTGCATTGTGAACCTCACTTCCTATCACTGTTAGGCAGCTGTACACATCGGGATTATCAAATCCTGATGTGTACCGGCATTTTGCTGAATGCTTCAGCATGGAAGCATTCAGCAAAAGCTGAAAGATGCCTGTTTCAGGCTGGTTGCCACAACGATCAGAAGTCTTTAGTGGCATCTGAGCCTGACATGCTGCAGTGCATGTAGGTCTCACTAAGGTTATTATTGGCTGTCCCTGAGTTTATGGCAGTCTAATAATAACCAAAAATGTATTTAAATTATCAAGCAGTCATAGTGACATGGCATGACCGATTGATATAATTGACAAACACTGGCTTGTTATGTCCCCCCCTTTTCTCCCTGTCAGCAATAACTGACAGCCAAAGAAGTTAAAATGTGTGAAAAAATAAAAATACATTAAAAAAATTATATATAAAAATATATTTTTATATTATAATTATTATAAAAATGAATCCCTTACAATGAAAATCTGCAGCAGAGCTGCAGATTTGTTTTTCAACCGTAGGGGTAATTTTTTTTATTTAACCCCCTCATGACGCAATATTCAAACTATGTCGCTGTCACTAAGTATGTGTGTGATAGTGACATTGTATGCCACCTGTCTAACCTTGGGACAACTATTCGCTTTTAGAGAAAAAACTATTTAAATGTAAGCTTTCAGTTTTAGGCTTTTAAGTACAGAACAATTGATGAGATCTTAGGAATGTGAGGTGTTTCCAAATAAAGGACAAATAAATGAAATTGTTTTAATGAATTTGTTTGGCTGTGCTATCTTTCTAAAGTGTTTTCTTTAAGTTTTTTCCTTATTTAAAAAAAAAAAAAATGTTTTCGTTCAGTGAGGCGTTAGGCACACATATGTGATATAAATATATAGCCCTATCTGTCTTCTAAAAACAATACAGGCATTCCTCACTTAACGACCGAGTTCCGTTCCTACGACCAGGTCGTTAAACGGATTGGTCGTTAAGTGAGGAACTCTATACAGTACTGTACTGCATTAGTACAGTACTGTATAGCGTTGCCGATGTACAGTACCGAACAGTGTACTGTACATCGGGCAATGAAAATACTTACCGGGACCCGCAGTGAAGATCAGAGGACACCACTTTCGCCGGTGACACGGCGCACTGACGTTGACGCACAAGGTCGATCGGCGGTCCGTCGTAAGTGCGAGTGGTCGCAAAACAGGTAAGTCGGTAAGCGAGGAACATCTGTATATGATATGTGTGGGTGCAGAAAGTATATTACTGCCGTGGAAGAATCACACAGCAAAAATGTAAAAAGTGCGTCAGTGATTAACAAACAAAAGGTGAAAAAAAGCTCAGTCATAAGGGATTAAATGTCATATATAGCATATATATGACAATTTTCATTAAGATAAACTTAAAATTGTATTGTAGACAGTTTTTTCCACAGTTCTACAATGCTGGGACATAAAATAATTAGACAATAACAATAATATAAACAACAGCAATACAAAATTGATCATAATAAATAATAGTTATAATCATTTTGAAAGGTTTTCTATTATAGAACTCTGGTCTAGTGAAAAAACAGAATTTTGTTTTATATTGTGGAGTTGTTTAAATCTCTCACTAGCAATTATAGCAATTAACACTTTTGTCATCTTCTGGTTAGAGAAGGGGGAGCAGCTAATATGCAGTCTGACATTTGACATCCTGAACATTTTTAATTGCTTGCAGAGAGTACCGAGACCAAAGTGGAGTACACACCTTTTCTAAGGGGAAGCAGTCTTTTTTCTCCTGATTTTCACGTGCCCGTTCTTAGGAGGAACGATGTCCATGCATGATCCCAATTAGAATTTTTCTGCTTATCCCTTAGAGACTCAATAAACATTAAAGCTGAACTGATGAATAAAGTGAATAGCTTACCTTATTCCTTGTGCTTTTTTTTGTCCATACTGGAGTTTGGTTTTTAATGCTTTTTGGACCCTCATAAAAAAAAAAAAGCTGATGTTTTTCTGAAATCACACTGAGATTATGCTTAGTGACCTGTATAGATACAAGTAGCATTAGGTGAAATTTATAAACTCTTTTGTTTTTTATTTCCAGGGGAATTGCTGGGACCATCTTGGCAACAGCTATAATAGGTTGGTGCAGCTTCTCAGCCTCAAAAATCTTCATCTCTACACTGGCAATGGAAGGACAGCAGCTTCTTATAGCCTATCCATGTGCATTGCTTTATGGATTATTTGCATTATTAACTGTGTTCTGAAATGCAGTGTGCCTTTAAATTAATTTAGGAAAACACGTGGGAAAACCCATGCACGTTCTCTATATTTCTGGTAATAGCAAGGCAATATCATTTTGTTTTATTGATAACAAATGACCTTTTCAAATTAACAGATGTTCACTGGTCTTCCTTCCTTGTCTCCTCCAAAATACACCATGGCTCTCCCGCAAGAGGGGCAGCGCAGCCTGGAAAATATGGTGATGGGGGGGGGAGGGGGGTCGAGCACGCGGGAGTCAACACATCTGGGGGGTATACTTGGATCAATCACCAGAACTCCCTGCAATTTCCACAGCTTGTACCCAGCGCTTCTGGACACTTTTTGGCAGGCAATCACCTTCCTGCACCACGATATACCATGCAGCAAGACTGCAGGAAGTTTTACACCCCAGGATTGGGCCTGTCACTATCACTCAGGAAGCCTGGGAGGATAGAGAACTTTTAGCAACATAGGGGTCTATTCACGAAGCAGCCGAAGGATCTAGCCGTAGCTTCAGCCCCAGGACCCCTTCGGTTCAGAACCGAAGTGCTGCTGTACAGGCTATTTCCTATAGCCCGTACGGCTCCCGAACTTGGCCAAGCGGCTCAATCAAGCCGAACGCATATGCCTCGGCTTGGCTGAGCCGCGCTGAAAGCCGAAGATGGCCGAGCGACCAGCCATTGGCCGGCCAACAGCCTGCTTCTGACAGCTGGGCGGAGGCAGCCATGATCTTACGGCTGGCTCCGGCCACTTGCAGAGAGATCAGCGTCCCTGGTTACCAGCTAACCAGGGACACTGATCTCCAGACAGCTTAACTCTCCCTGGCGCTCCGGGAGTCTCCCGCTCCCGGCCGCCAAGGAGAGAAACACTGCTTTTTCTTTTTTTTTTATTCTGACACGGAGCCGTGTCAGAATAGAAAAAAAAAATAAAACATTTTTGGCCTTAGGAATGCATTGCTAGGTTCCTATTGGCTATTTCAATTTGCATTAGCCAATAGCAAACTAGCATTGCACCCGCCCTATGCTGCAGTTCTCCATCAGGTCCACCGCTACTGATTGACAGCAGCAGTGGGCGGGTACAATAGCTAGTTTGGTATTGGCTATTGTACCAAAAGAAAAAGCAGTGTTTCTCTCCTTGGCAGCCGGGAGCGGGAGACTCCCGGAGCGCCCGAGAAACTTATTTTTTTCTTTTTTTTGACGGCAGCAGAAGCGCCGGCCAATAGAAAACTGCTAGCTCCGCACAATCGTTTTCTATCTATTTTTTTCTACTTTTTAAACTATTTTTCTGTTCTGCTCGGTACCACAGAGGAACAGAGCAGAACAGTCGGCTATTCACTCACTGCTGTTCGGCATCTATAAGAATAGACCGAACAGCAGCGAGTAGCCTGCCGGAGGTTCAGCTTAGCCAATCCAGATGTTGGATCGGCTGAGTCGAACTCCTTCTGCACTTCGGGTGGGCCGGACATGCTGAGCATGTTCGGCCAACCCGAAGCCACCCGATGTACGGCTGATTTCAGCCGATATACGGCTGAAATCAGCCGTACCAGCCTGAAGTGAATAGCCGAATCTTCTTTCTCTATTGCCAGCAACACTCCCCGACAGCAGACAGAAGCAAACAATGAACTTAAGAGAAACCAAACAAAAGCAGAATTATAAATATGAGCTCAGGTTGGCTGCAGACTAGCTGTAACACTAAATTCAGACTACGGACAGGGAAGGGTCCCTACATTAGTTTTTACCTTACTACTGCACAGCCTGCAAGGGGATCTGTAACTAGCATCAACGATCCTGAAGCCTCCTCCTGTACCTATGTGTGATGTCAGCTCTTCTTGACTGGAAACATCACAGGGGTTACATCGTCTTTGTAGGCAGCAACTCTCTAGTGTTTAAAGTGTATCCATAGCCAAAACTATTTATTTTTTTCTCTTAGTTTTGGATAGAGTCGGAAAGTACAAGATTTTACTATCAGATTTTACTGCTATCCAGAGCTCCATCAGAGAGCTTTTCCCTCACTCACAGTTCTGGACATAACCTGTTTACCCAACAGGAAGTGATAGGAATTCTAAATCAGCAACACGGACAATAATAAAAAGGCTTTAAGTTACGTAGTGGGATTATAGAACCCCGGTCAGCTTTTTTTTTATTGTTGCCTGTTTCCCTGTTGAAGATTTTCCCTCACTTCTTGCTTGGTAAAATGTTGTCCCTAGAACAGAAAGTGCAGGAAAATCTCTTTAGCAGTGCCACGGATAGCAGTAAAACTTTCCTGACTATCCAAAGCTAAGAAAAAAAGGTTATGGCTACACTTCAATGACTGGGTTTGTGTTATCTTCACATGCACACAGATTTTCTCTTTTAATTAACCTCACCAACCTGCCTAATGTGACACCCTTCCACCTGCAGGCCCTTAAACAGCCATGTGGGCTACTATAGCTATAATTAGACTGCTAAAACTAGAGCAGTATAAATTCTTCCCATCGTTTCTTTCTCCTGGAGTATGCATGTTCCTATTATAGCTGTACAAACATTAACACTCTGTACCTGAGAAAAGACAAAGAAGAACATACTACTGCCACCATGGATGATGGGATTAAGCTAAAATACTATCACCAGTACCTTGAGAGAATACTTCCTCAATCTTGATGGTTCCCAAATGTAATCCTAGAGTCCCCATGTAGCAGCAAGGCAGCATAACTAATCATTGAGCCAACATGCAATGGTCCTTGCTCAAAGCTACACAATTAACATGACTAATGTATTTTTAAAAGTCTCATTTGAGTCTAGCTAAACATAATACATCAATGTTTATGATAAAACAGTTGGCAGACTACTGATAAATAAATAATTGTGCACTATTCAGTGACTGTGCTCTCAATAATGTAAGAGACCTGGTCAGACAGGCCCTTCCCTTTGGTAAGTATTGAACAGTTGAGCTCTTCCCTGCTTTTTATTCTCATTTTTGCAGGGGGGTGGCGGCCTAGCCAATCTGCGAACCTTGCATTTTCCTGTTAGGAAATTATAATTACAAATGATAACGTGGGAGGGTGCGTTCAGGATTAAAAACCAAAATGTGTGAGAGTTCAACTGGGCTTTAATACACCGCCAAGGCCATTCAAAAGAAAAGGATACGCTACCACAGCAGGGCAGCCAGGTGCAAAGAATAAATGTCACAATAGGGATATTCCACTTAAATTCCACTTATATTTTAGTTACATTCAAAATGTCTATGTTTGCCTGGGGTATACTTATAAATGAGACCTTGCACCTAAAATGCAACGTCCAATGTTTAGGTGGGCCCCACCTCCCCCTTGCTGAAAAGTAGCATAAACATAAAAAACCTGTATGGTAGTATACTACCTTGTTAGTCTAGGAATTTCAGTCTGATATATGGGCTTGTATGTGTAAGTATATAAAACAATACATAAGATGTAATAAAAAATGATAAAATATATATATAAGAAACCCATATCAAAATTCAGATGTACAGATACAATCCTGGAATGTAGACGAAGAAGGAGTCACCTTTCTATAAATGAAAAAGAACAATGGGTCTGTGCTACGAGTACGAGTAAACTCTCGTTTTATTGATATAAATCCATTAAAACTTCAACCAGATTTCACAAAAGGCCTCTGTAAAACAGTAAAGATCTTATGCAGTCAGCTGAAAAGGTCAATAGAAAGAACCTAAATTGAAAGTAAAATCGAATTTTAACTGCCAGTATGAACTAGAGAGCAGCAGAAATATGTGTTATGCCTCCGACACACAAAGTTACAATGCAGACAGCCTTGACCTTTCCTTCCTGTCTACATGATGCATTGGTGAACAAGACACCACTATTAAATAATGTGATAAAAGATACAAACCCATCACATTTTAACAAAAGCCTCAGCTTCATCATCGTCAGATTACTACACTTATTTTATAACATAATGTTTATTTAAATGTTCAGTCCATCCACAACTAGTATTTCAGTTATAAGTGGGTGCTGGATGGATCTTACAGACTGTTGTCATATCCAGCTAAATCAAGTAAATGCTCTGTAAACATCTTAAATTGATATTAAATCAAAAGGTTTTTTTTAAAGCAATTTAAATGCTGATTTAATTACTTACAATGGATGCTGCTTCTTGATGTTTAAAAGTTTGAACTTCATAGAGAATTAGCTGGTCTCCTGAGCACTGCCCCTGATGTCGTATTTTAGGATGCCTCATTTCTCTTGCATGGTCCTATGGAGACACCCTTGTGCTGACACACAGGCCCAGCAAGGCAAGCCACTGCCCTCTTCCCTGCCCCCACATCTCCTTCCTACCTTACTCCTTCTTCAAGCTAGTAGATGGAGAGCTTCTGGAGATTACTCTGTGCCTTGTGTTCTTGTACTGGACAGGAAGTTTGGAGAATTGGAGCCAACAGTTTGGAAACATGATAGCTGCAAGTGCTGGGGCAAAAATGTAAAGAAATACTTTGTTGGGCAATGTATATTTTTTTAAATCTGGAATCATTATTGAAAAAAGGTTTGGGAGATTAATACTGCTTTAACCCTTTCGCTGCCAATGCCTTTTTCGTTTTTTGCACACATGATATATTCCACATTTTAGGCCTGAAAATGACTTCAAACCCCCAAATATTATATATTTTCTGAAAGCAAACAACCTGTAGAATAAAATGGTGGCAATTGCAAATTTTTATGTTGCATGATATTGGCGCAACTCTTTATCGAACCCCAATATTTAGTGAAAAATGAACGTAAGGTAATTTTAGTGTTTCAAAACACAATAATATATCCATTCTTCTTGTAAAATATAAAAGATGAGGTTAAGACGAGTAAATAGATAGCTACATGCCCAGGTTAAAAATTGTGCGTCCGTGAAACGGCGACAAATTTAATTACCCAAAAAGTTCATAGACGATTCCCTACAGGTCATCACTTTAGTGGTACGCATAAATATTGACCCTAGAATTATTGCTACTCAACATGTGTAGCGCAATCAATGTTTTCGTATCTAGGCGC